ATGACCAGATGATCTACAAAAATCAGCCAATCACAATAAAGTTCGCTATGCTATATAAATGAACATTTCCTTTTAAATTTCCGCCATACTATTCTACTCGGAAAACGTAGCTTATTGAATTATCTTTTTATATCAATACCGTACCCTTATATATATTAATATTTATAATCTTATGATAGTTTGCTTTAATTGGTTCTTTTCAGCAATATCGATATATTTAATTTAGACCAGATAATTACGGCGTATGACGGTAAATCAAACGCAACAGTAATAGTAAACCATTAAGTTACAATAAACCACTAACATTTATTTTGCGGTTAAAATAGCGTTACTAAATATATTAATAAGTTTACTAAATTTGAATGATTATTATCGTTATTGTAGGATAAATTCCAAATATATTAATAAGTTTACTAAATTTGAATGATTATTATTTTATCGCTTAAGAACCTAGTGTAAATAGTAATTAAAAATTGTGTGAACATTGTGTAATGTAGAATTTACATTATGAATTATTTGATCTAGCCTGGATAATTACAGCGTATAGCGGGAAAACAAACACCCTTACATGGTAAACCATTAAGTTCAATGAACTACAAAATTTATTTTGCGATTAAAATAGCAATGTGCGAAATGAATGAATAAATTTTACGATGGTCGCAAAAAAGATTCAGAAATAATTGTTCACATCACGTATCATATGAATTGAGAATGACCGCTTCAATTTCGATGATTTGATGCTTAAACGAATGCTATAAACTGTAGAATTTAATTTAAGATGGCACAAAACGGATTAATCGTTCATGAAATTTAGGACGTTCTCAAGCGCCTCGATCAATGAGCGAAAATGTGTCGGAAGTGTGTCGGGAATTAAATTTTAATTAGCTGAAAGTATTTTTAATCGATCAAACGTGCGTGTCATTAAAATTAATAACATACGGGACACATGGTTTATTTAAGTCAAAGAAAAAGTTTAATAATGAAAAACTGATCATCGTCAGTCAAAAAACTTTTTGTCTCAAACCATCTTTTTTTTGCATTGGTTTATAACTATTAAAGAAATAAAGTTACTGTACAAGCATTTTCATGTTTTTATTATGATATTCGTTATCAACACATTAACGTAGTGCTGTTTTATTATAGCTTATTTTATAAATCATTTAGAATTTATTCAAGCATTGATTGAGATCTTTACTTTGATCTATCGTAGTAATTGAGCATCAATACAATTATTAGCAATCACAGGAATAGTAATACTTGAACATATTTAAGCAATATCGTCATTCGCATTATTGATTTTTATCCAAGATATTATTAGAATAGTTAAATTTAAGTCATAATACTTGTGCACTATTTCGATCATTATGAAATTGTATCTCTGTGGATGCTTGAGAACACCCATAGTATAATTCTCTAGTGATAAGTGATACTGCTAAAATCAATAACCCTAACCACCTCGAGCGCGTGACTAAAGATGAGAAGAAGAAAGAACAATAACACAAGAACAATAAAAAATGACACAAGAACAATAAAAAATAAAATAAGAACACTAAAAAAAAAATAGAATAAATGAAAAATAATGTAAAAATTAAAATAAAATAAGATAAAAAAGTTGCAATACATGAAGGTCGTAATCACATGATCCAACAATCCGTAATTAAAGTACTTACAATTGATTGAAAGTTGGGTGAAGTTGGAGGAAGAATTGTATTTTCAGCTTTCACTTTTGAAAGTTGATAAGTTTGTACATTTGCAGTATTGCGCTTGTCATTTTTCTTCGGTTTCTGTCTTATTTCCAACTGACAATTATTAAGTATACCATCTTGGACAAATCGGTAGCTCCCATAACTAATAATATTTTCTTGGTTGTCGTTAGTAACCCCCATTAAAGCCAGTGTTTCATCGGTTACATGTTTAAGATTGTTAATTTTGCCAGGAAATACAAAAATCATTCCTGATTTTTTATCTTGAAAAGTAACGGCATTTCGAAATTCTTTTTCGGTTCGTAATTTGGGTAGTACCACTACAGTCTTACCAGCTCTGCATCCAGAATACTTAAAGCGTTTTAGAAATTCGGGGTAGAATCTTTTCATTTCATCTTCACAATGTGGCCTTACTACGTTATTTATAAATTGTTCATCAATAGTCTTTAGATACTTGTTGGCTTCGGTGAGTGTAGGGTAAGAACCCATAAGAGTCCATTGAGCGTGTGTTAGAACATATTCATGTGAAAATTCTTTCTTATCATAGATGGGCATTAAACAGGGAAAGGAGCCATCCATGGTAATAAATGAAATCGGTTTATCAGAAGTAGGTTGTTTATCTTGATAAATTAAAGCTAAACATGGCTGGTAAAATATCTCCATGTTTGCAGGGAGAGGATCTCTTGGTTGTAAAGATTGAAAACCAGTTGCATTAATTACATGATCAGCGATTTGAATTTCACCATTGGAGATGGTAACTTTAATGTTTTGATCACATTTTTCTACTTTAATAACTTTATTATTACAAAGAATATTTACACCGGCTTCTGTTAACCAAGCATGAAATTTTTCTCTTAATAATTCACCTACTGCCATACTGGGTTCATAGACATCAACAGCGTAAAGTAAATTTTCATAACCATATTCTTGAGGATCAATTTCATTCCACTTTTCTAGAAATTCCTCATGTCCATTATTTTTTAGCCAACATTTTAATTTTTCAAAAACTTGTTTAAATTCTTTCGGTGAGACTTTTGAAGGCTTGCCATGAGAGTCATAAGTGCCAACTCCGTAGATAGAATATTCATGAGATACTATTAAATCAGGATATGTCTCATGTAAATAAATCAACCCTTCTAAGCAAGCCTTTTGAGTGGATTCAGAACGGGGATAATGTAATCCTACGTGATTTCGGATACCAAAACTACCTGAAATTTCGTCAAAAATTTTGCCATTTTTTTCTAAAATTGTAACCTCAAATCCCATTTGACGAAGCACCAAGGAGAGATGACAACCATACCAACCCCCACCAATAATAATTACTCTTTTATTATTCATTTATTACAAAAGACTATTATTTGAGTAAGTTCTTAATCAAATCTAAAAACTACAATTACTCCTTATAAAGATGAAATATAATTAAGTAAAAGATTGAAATCAAATATTTGTAAATTTTTAGCACCAATAAAGTGTGTGTACTTAAATACTTTATTGAAGTTAATAATGTAAATTACAATCGCTTTATGCAATGTATATAATTATTTAGATAATACATAGTTACTGTGCCTGCATAGTAATATTCCGACTTATTACCTTTACAAGGAGTAGTTCGGGTTTTAGATTTCTTTTTCCATACGTACAATGTGCAAAACAAAAGTTGTTGAACTAAAATAACTACCTGATAATCACATTATATAAATATAAATTAAACCACACCGGAGGTGTTCATTCATGTTGACAGGCGCAGTCAACAGATCGAAAAGGGAGCTAAGCAGGGAGGCCCGGGCTGCAACAATCACAAGGGAACCAAGGTGTCGGCGGAGAAAAACCGGATCAATCACCATCCTATTTGAGGAAGGCGCAGGGAGAAGATAAGTGATCAATTAGTTACCTAATTGGGACATTTCACATGGAAACTGATTTGACAGAGATTCATTGTAGGTATAAATGCACGGACGCTAGGGTGGAATGTGGCAGCCCAGAAAGGAAGCAAATTCGCACCCGACCCTCCCCGTCCCACTGAATCCTGCCATTTTGCAACCATCCATGTCTACAGCCGGCCTGCGTTACGCAGGTGGGAAACCACCGGCTAATCTTAAGCATCAATCTCAAGCAGCAACAGCTTGACTGCAATGACTCGGGGTCGACAGCCGGCCCGCGTATGCGGGTGGGAAACCACCGGCTGACCCTACAAATATCTATATCAATTATGCATCGATTGCACTGATGCATGCTGAAACAAAGCTAATAAAGTTCAAGATCCAGCATTATATGCTGGTGTGCTTCCAAATAAATATGTATTCATAAGCGTGCGATTCTGTTCGTTATGATCACGCTATCCAATCAAATGCAAGATTTTGTTTACACCATTCTAGATGGCAGTTAACCATGCACTCCGTTATGCAAGCAAAACTACGTTCCTGGTATACAGGTTTGTAAATAACAATACTAATATCAAAAAAAAAAAAATCCAAGTAACTGTAGCTTCAATTTCTTCAGCAAAATTTATGCCAATATAAGTTATAGTGTTTCAAAACATGGTGTACGTTTAGAATTTTTTTAAATATATGACTTTGCAGTCAGATTATGCTGGCTTTAATGATCTTTTATTTAATATTCAATATGGATTTCCAGGTCATTGATTTTATAAAATAACTATGCGAACTAAATGAGACCGATAACATTCGCGTAAATGCAGTTGCTTCTGGATTTGTGGGTAAGTTAACGAAAATCATTGTCACTATTCATTGTATTTATTTGATATCTGTTAATTATTAATATAGATTAATGAATAATTAGATACACATATTGTCAAAAATTTAGTAAAATAATGCCTAAAATTGCACAATCAATTGAGAATCTTGGATTTATTTCTATGGACGAAGTGATTAATGCTTATATAAAGATCATTCAAGATGTTAAACTTACAGGCGATACAATTATGATTCTAATAAGAATAATTCAAAAATTATTTCGAAAACATTCGTGGAGGATTTAAGATTATATGATTAGCTTGTATTGTTTATTTTACAGAATGAATTTATTGTTTTTAAAACTTCTAGCAATATTTGTTGCTACATTAATAGAACCTTTATAGATAACTGATAACTTCAATTAAAATTCTTGATATAAAGAAGTCTAGTAATGAGTTATCAGCGACTCAAATTACAAACATTGAATCAAATCTATAGATTAAAGTAAAACAATAAAATGAAAAAAATCAGCAGCTATACGTATACTGGTTGCAATTTATTGCGGTTTCAAAATTTTGTAAATTTTGCAGATTATGCGCTTTTTTCAATTTAGGAATGGCTGAAAATCTATTAATTGGTTAATTTTTTAAAATAATATCTGTGTCAGTTCCATAGGAATCCGCCAGGGCGACCACGAGTTTTTCGGGTCACGTGATGATGGACAAAACAAATCCGAATTTCTTAAATTTGTT